TGAATATTGAAGAATGATAGAGAGAGAGGGGAATGACGAATAGTGTTATTCTGTGTTGGTGGAGAGAGAGAGAGAGAGAATCAGAGGGAAATTCAAGAAGAGGGAAGGTTGGAGGGGGGAGTGCACCGCCATTCTGTCATTGTGTGTTGTGAGGAAGAAGATGAACAGTGTTCCAGATGCACATTAATTCGTAAAAGGGTAAAATAGGTATTTTGAGAAAAAAATATCAATCTCTTTAACGTTTTCCGTCTTGGTCATTGACAGAAGGGAGGTATTTGTTGAATTTTTCAAAAATAAAGAGACGATTTTTGCTAAAATAAAACTATAGGGGAGGTTTTTATGATTGTAAAAAACTTTAGGGGAGATTTTTATATTTTACCCTAGACATTAAAGCAGATATATAACCGTGGGCATAAGATTTTGCCATTTGAACGAGGCCTACAGGGTTCGGGCCCGAGTTGTTGAAAATTTTCCTGTTTCGGGCGTTCCAAATGGCCCATAAGAAATATGGCAAAAGTAGCTCAGGTCTGTATTCTTTAACCAGCTTTTGAAAGGTAGGGAGGGTTCTTGAATTATTTTCCCACATTTAATTGTGTGATGGTACGATTAATTTCTAAATAGATGGTCCAATGATTCGGTTTCTTGTGCGCGTAAAGCACAATTCAATGGGACCTCCAACCCTCTTTTTCCAAGAGTTTCTCTAACCGATAACTTACATAGATATAGAAGCCAAAGAAATATTTGATTCTGGATTAACACGGAATCGTCCAAATGTATTTGAAAATTGGGGACTGAGGGATGAGAGGATCTTTGTCTAAGAACTTATAGACCGATTTTGAAGAGACTTCACCATTTTTTATGTTTGGCCAGACCCAGTTGTTCTCTTTATTAGGATCACGGCTTAGGGGGATGGCCAAGATTTGGTCTTTGATGGCCTGGTGTCTGGTCATGAGTCATGAGTTTCAGCCTCTTTCTGGAGCATTTCAAAGAAACTGAACCAACTTAGCTGAATCTTCGGGTCAGCTCTCACAAACGGGCCCTATGTCTTTAGCTCCATGCCGAAATTTTATTCTACTCTTTCTTTTATTATATTAAGGCAATGTTTGGGAGTGCTTATTCAAATAAGCACTTATTTGCATTTGGCACCCAAATATTTCAAGTGTTTATTTTTTAAAATAAACACTTGTTTTATATTGTGTTTAGTAGTCTTTTTCTCTAATAAATACTTAAATAAACATTTATTACTTTTATAAAAGTATTTTCTTAAAAATGCTTTTGTAAAAATACTTTTACAAAAGTGCTTTTATAAAAATACGTTCATAAAGTGCTATCATAAAAGTACTTTTATAAAATTCAGCTAGGGATAATTTTATAAGTGGTATTTTAAAATTCAGCTAGGGGTAATTTTAGATGAAAAAAGTTGAATAAGTGCTTAAGCACTTAAAAAAAGATGAAAATTTGGGCTTAAAAAACCCTTATTTTTAAAATTATATATATATATATAATGGGTGCTTTCTCCATTCAGAAAACGGAATCTAACTCATGTGAGTAGATTTTGCATCTCACGTGCAAATATTTTATACGTGAAAAACAGAGCAAAGCATCAATTTCACTTTTGCCCTCCGACGTTCTTCCTTGATTTCACTTTTGGGTAGAGCATCAATTTCACTTTTGAGCATCGCCAAACTCTCTCGGAGGGCAAAGGTCGCCAGAGAACGTCAACCTTCGAGTTTCCCTATCGTTTTCGGCGACCTTCGAGGATTTGCCCTCTTTGTTTTGCCCTCCGACAATCCTTGCACAGGAGAATGAATGACAAAGGAAAGCTACCTTGCATGCTTTGGAGAACGAACGAATGAACGACGAACGACAACCTTGGCCATTTCCGATGACCTTTGAGGATTTGCCCTCTTTGTTTTGCCCTCCGACGATCTTGACACTGTTTTCCATCTGACGATCCTTGCACAAGAGAACGAATGACGAAGGAAATCTACCTTGCATGCTTTGGTAACCTACTGTCATTGCTCGACTGGGATTAATCCGTCACTTGCATGCTTAAGGATTAATCTGTCTCTTTGTCAATGTTTGATTAATCTGATAGCCTGTCACTTGTAGGATTAATCTGATAGGCCATCACTTTCATGCTCGGTTGTGTTTGATTGCCTAGGTAAATAGATATAATAATAATTTCTAGCCATAATTATTTCTTCTCCTAGGCAGATGTATTTGCAATCTCTCTCTCTCTCTCTCTCTCTATATATATATTATCTTCTTATATGAACTTCTCGTTCTATTTTCTTCTGGTTTTCATTCTTGCTGCGTGGGGGTTCTTCTTGTACTGCCGTTTGGGTTCAGTGTTCTTCCGGTGTTTGTATGTTTCTACTTTATTTACATCAAACCAAGCTTTTTTGTACTGATATTGAACTATGTGTTGACTTGTTTTTTTTTGTGCTATAGGTTCTTGTAGTTGTTGTCTGGGTTCTTCTAATACTGCCGTTTGGGTTCTTGCTTCGGTTCTCCTAGTGTTTGTATGTCTATAAATTCTTTGTTTTTTCCCGTCTCATTTTTTATCTCAAGTATGTCTTTAGATTTCAGACTTATATTATATGGATAGGATGTGTTTCTATGCTGAGTTTTGGAATTAGGCTTTAGTAATGTTGGACACAGAATGCCTGCATATGAATGCCTTTTTTTGGAATTACTAGTTGTTGCCTGGGTTCTTCTGGTTGTTGCTTGGGTTCTTCTAGTACATGTGCTTTGGCATGTGATAGCAAGTATTTCAAGAAGACAACCAGTATATGGATTTCTCTGATATTTTTGGGTGATATCTAAGTAACTCCTCCCTTCCTATTGGCAACTGATTTCCACCACAACCGAACTCTTTTTTTTCTTTCCTTTTTAAGTGTTTTGAGGCTTGGTAAAGAGCTTTAATTTCTTTTCGTTTCCTCTTAGTATATGTACCCTCGTTAGCAGTTGGTAGCCTCTCGTTTTATAGGTCAGGATGCTAGGTACTCCAAACCCATTTTTCCCGGGTATATGAACTCCAGAGTCCAGGTACCTGTTCCAATCAACAATCTATTCTCCTCCCTTAATGTTTTTGTAAGTGCCTTGTACATTGTTGGGAAGTTCAACAAATTGGCTGTTTAGTTACAATGATTGGACTAAGTGCTAAAGTTAGGGAATTCCACTGATCCTTTTACAGAGATAACAGAAGTTACTTATGATGCTTGACACCCCTGTGGCCCTGCCACATAGACATTGGCTTAAAATACGATAATGGAATCAAATATTTAACTATAGTTGGTGTTTCAACAAACAGGTGTACCATTACTCCCGCAAGTAATCTGCTATGTGAGTATGTGTGCTTTTTTTGTTTACTGTGGATAGTAATCTCTTTCGAAGATGTACCAGAGAGATTTTAGGAATCTGAATGGTATGGGGAAGGAAGACTTGGTGACATTTGTCCAAGATTGTAAAGGCTGAGCACAAGAGCACTACAGTAAGTCAATGCTTTGAAAAGAGGGGTATGAATAGGTTGTGTGGAGTCTGATATTCAGGCATATTATATTAGATAGAGAATTGGAATAGTTTTCTGTTTTATTTTTAATATTGGAAGCACTGAAGGTGGATATTAATGAACTAAATGCAAGATTGTGTGGATGGGAACTTTTTCTGTTAAGCCGTTTTAGAAGGTGTTTACAAGAAGTTAGGTTGAAGGATCTTATATTAAGAGGGTATTGGGAAATCCAGTTCTTCCTACATTTGAGGCTGTTGCATGATTATTGTTCTTGAGTAGTATTTTGATGTTAGATTATTTGAAATCAAGGGGTTTCCGGCTTCCAAGTATTTGTTTGATGTATAAAGAAGTAAAGAACATGAGTAAGACATGAAGCACTTGTTCATTTGATGTAGTATGACAAAATTTATGTGGGATTTCTTCTTTTCTATGTTCAACACTTCAGAAGGCCGATCATTCTCAGTCAAGCAAGATATTATCAACCTCTCCAATATGAGGTGTGGTAAGAAACTCAAAGGAGAGAGAGAGAGAGGAGAGAGATTTTAACACCATATAAAGAGAGAAAGACACATTTTGTAAGATAAAGCAATGTCTAAAAGCATGCTAGTTGCAGAATTTTGCTCATTGATTGTGAACAGGTTGCTAGCATATACAGAATTAAAGGTGTAAACAGAAAGGTGTGGTTACAACTTGTGGGCAATGTTGGGTCTTTGTAATGGGGGATCTTAAATTGGATGTGGGGAGTGTCATTGTACTTAATTTTTGGTGAAGTTCGCTTGCTATTTGGTAAGAGCACTTCACAAAAGATTATATCTTCTTCTTTTTCCTATTAATGAAAGCAGTCCACCAGGAGTAAAATCTTCTCTATTTCCATGCAGAGCACTTTTCACTGCATGTATCAATTTATTTGGGAAGCTGATTGCCACATTTGGCTTTTTTGTATTTGCTTCTCTCTCTCCTTCATGTGTTCTTCACATGAGTACTAATAGTTGGTAAAGACTACCATACAAGACATGTGAGAGAAGGATAAGGAGGGAGAGGTTGGCCAGTGCTGCTTGCTTAGTGCTTCTTTCTGTTAAGTAATTCTCTGAACCAGTAGACATATATCTTTGGATACCTCTTAAGGGTTTTGAAGTCGATATAGACTATGCCAAACCTTGTTGTAAACCCTGATCTCCATTCAAAAATGCAATGAATTTTAGTGAAGACAAATACAGGTTCAATAGTTAACTAAACTCATAACCTTAAGAGCTCTGCATTTTGCCATCATCTATAAAGAATTACCCTTGACTAACTGCATATGTGGTCAACTGAACGCAGGGGCCTCTCCGCTAGTTTTACCTTTAGGTACTACCGAACATGAGCTAAAACGGATGAAGTCTAACTGGTTTCGAGCATTGGATTGCTGTGTATTTTCTAATTTCAGTCTTAAATAATGAATACTCCTAGTATATTAAAAAAATGGCTTAAATGAACCTAACCCGACTTGGACAAACACATGGCTGCCAAGCTGGCAAGGCCAAAAGGCTCAGCTCCAATCCACCATTCATTGTCAGTCTTTCTGCAAGCTTATACATACAAATTCATGCAATACCGAAAAATAGACTCTCGTTTGTTTGCCTTGAAAGAAAGGCCAAAACGACGATAGCACTTTTCGCTAGAGCCTAGAGGGTTGAGGGTTGTAGCCAAACACATGAACCAAAGCAAATTATAAAATTGGCAAGGAATGTACATCACAAAGACATGAAAAGTACTTCTACCATAAATTAAATAAAAAAAAGAAAAAGACATGTAAGGTCCTAATTACCGAGTACCCTCTTCTTTTTTGGCTACTGGACTGAGAACCCTCTTAAAACGAAACATTGGAACTCAGGATGCTTCTTTAAAAGCCCTTGAGATTGCTCGAATGGTGGAAGGTGTTGTTCGACAACATCCTCCGATGAGTTTGGCTCCTGCATCACGCCATCTTGTTGCAAATATTTCAAAATTTTCGTCATCAAAGCACTTCGAAGGCTGTCAACCCAAATCAAGAAGAGGCGAATCAATTACAAGGAAATTGATCTGATAATAATAAGAAAGTGATCTAATCAATGTGAACAGGTTGAATAAATGCATCAGCCCAAAGGACTTTGCTGAAGTGGAAAAATTAAACTACCTAGGTTCTTCAAGGCATGATGTGCGCAGTATGCCAGATGAAGCAAGGCACAACTTTTCAAAAGCATAAAAATAAAGAACTTAAAAATTAATAATATGCAAATCTGGAGTCTATCAAATAAAAAGCACATAAACCTCCATAATGGCATAATGTGATGATCCATAGCTATATATCTTATAAAAACATTGACAATTCAATATCTATAGAACACCATGATCCAAATACATAGAAGAATGTACGAATCCATGAAAGCATAAAGAATGCCAACATCAAATTTCAAAGTTACATGGTAACTATAGAATAAGGCCTGAAGCTTGGGGACTTCACGGAGGTGGAGGGTTGATAGACCTGAAGTTGGAGAATGGTCCCTTGTGTCGAGGCAAAACAATCCCAAAATATTTTGTATATACAGGAGAATCGATTTTGTGAAACCCAAAATATTTTACGTCTATCTAGAAGTTGATAATAGACCATTATAAAGGTGTGAAACGCTTTAAAAATAAGGCCCAGTTTGGTTGCAGTTCAAATTTCATTTGCAATGGTGTAAATGCATGGGAATGCAAATAGGCTGAGTGTAAATTCTGGTCTACTATTGCTAATTTGACCTTATCTTCTTTGATTGTGAAAAGTAAAATAGGAAGGAAATTGATATGGTCTACCTTACATGAAAGAAAATGGAGGGAGGATAAGGGTTATTTGTTTGGGAGTGAGGTAAGAAGAAAGATAATGTTGTCCCCACTTTACTTGAGATAGAATTAAGGTTGGAGGAAGGTGGTGCAAATTTTGTATCAGTTTTTTGAGATGCAAAATTTGAACTGCTAGTGAGTGCAAATGCAACAAAAAAGATACAAATTCTGTATCATGAAGGAGTACGAACCATAGTTACAAACAAATAGATGCAAAACTTAACTGGGTACAAAATTTGTATCTGGTTCAGATTTGCACTGCAACCAAATGCAGTCTTAAGTAACAAAAGGGATTACAAAAAGTGTGCTTCGGTTGCCTTGTGCTTCAACCTAGGCATGTTCCTTTTGAAAGCGCCATGCCTGGGTCAAGCAAGGTATATTGCCTTATGCATCCACCTATGTGGCTAGGCACAAACATTGGTACAAATCATGAGTAGGTTTCACTCCAAGAAAATAAACCATCAAGAGTGATAACAAGAAAACACGTGCTACTTTTAATATGCTTCCAGTGAGTAAAGGGTAATATTCAAGAGCAAAACATGGTAAATTTGTTCTGGAACAAATAAGAAAGTAACAGATGTCATAGCTCAATCTTACACTTACCAGCCATCTCTTTGTTCTTCCATCCCATACCTCTCCACTATTGGGATAAACAATTATGGCCTTTTCAGTTGACTGGGCAGAAGAAGAAGAAAGTATAGCTCAAAACACTGATTATATAACAATATGGATAAAAATTATTATAACGGGAATCCTGTTTGCTTACCTCCCTAAACTTGCAGATGAGATTTTCTACAAAATGGGGTGGTGTGCAATTTATTCCAACAGCATTCACTCTCTTACTCGTGTTTATTATATCAAGACACTCCTTAAAGCTCTCTCCTGATGGAGCATGTTCACCATCTACAGAGCTGAAGCAGATCCAACATGGAATTTGGACATTCTCTTCATCAAGCAGCTCAGCACAGGCCTGTATGTAGCTTTTCAGAAGCTAGGATAATAAAAAGCGAAACAACTTTTGAAGAGTCTATGTTTTTTTGGAAACTAAGGGTCCATTTTGTTCGCAGTCGGAATTGGAATCAGAATGGTCTATTCCCATAGTTTGTTTGGTTCAGACAGGAATGGAAATGGGAATTGGAATAAGCAGGAATGGGATTTCATTCTCAAGGGAGGGGTAGGGAATGGTGCCATTACAGCAGGAATGGGAATGGGATTCCGACTCCACTCAACCAAACAGTTAGAATCGGAATAGCCCATTCCAATTTTGATTCCAGACCCCTATTCCCGCGAACAAAATGGGGCCTAAGAGTTAATATGATGTATTGCTTTTTCTTTCCATTGTTGATAATTAACAAAGATCAAACATGATTTTTTAATGACAATAATAAGAATTACAAAGATGAAATACCATAACAACATGGACCCATTTGAAAAAAATTCTATAAAAAACTGATATATTTTTCAGATTTAGAAAGATAAACTACTTTTCTGAGCCAAAGGCATAACAAATTAATTCCTATGCGTACAGTTAGAAACCATCATCATACTAGTCCAAATTATGTGTTGTCAACTTATGAATCCTGTTCCTGAATTAAGTGTAGATCTCTAATATTAATGGTTCAGTTTCTATGCGTACAGTTAGAAACCATCATCATACTAGTCCAAATTATGTGTTGTCAACTKATGAATCCTGTTCCTGAATTAAGTGTAGATCTCTAATATTAATGGTTCAGTTTTTTTTACTGGTGGAATAATATTAATGATTCTGGGACCTGCAACTTAGCGCTGATATAAATCATATATCACCAAGAAAAAACAAAATTGAGCTATTATAATGTGTGAGGTACACCATACATGTGGTGAAGAAACCATCTAGGCATCCACACCACATTTTTGAAAAAAAAAATTATGCCACTTAACATTAGCAATCCCAAAGGATAAAAGGGTTCTATAGTGAATGGCCAAATATTTCCAAGCATCCACCTGCTTGCTACACTGGAAAAGCTACCTTAACTGTGAGGGGAGAAACCAGGAACAGTCTACATAACAATGTCCATCCCAACAAAGCACATTTACATGCCATTTTGGAGTAGGTCATCAACCCCTGGAAAAGACCCTATCCCATGGAAAGACAACAATTTTTATAATACCCCATTTTACTAAGGCTCAGTTTGGAAAGAGTGCAAATACATACAAAATACAAGGTTTTGCACTCTACATATTTGTATCTGTACTCCTTCCAAACTGAGCCTAAAGTGAAAAGTATCTGTGAATTTTTGTTACTATGGACCTGGTTCAGGTAAGCAATGCTTACTATGAAAGAAAAATATTTCTATTAATATCACTTTTGATTTTGAAAGAACTCTGTCAAACAACTTAATCCAAAATTTAGCACTAAAATGGCTCCAATAAATATTTATAAGGTTCTACCACAAAACTATACTGAGAGTCAGAGACAGAGCAAAGTGGTGTGGTCTTCAGAGCTTATAAACTGGATCAGTTACAGCTCAAAAGACTTGATACACAGGAGACTGAATTGAGAAAGGGCACTAATCAAAAATATGAAAATGCATGGGCTAGGTTCAATGTTCCCAAGCTTTTTTTTTTTTTTCGGGGGGGGAGGGGGCGGTATTTCATAATTATTACATGCACACACCAGAAGCTACTAATGAACAGCACTGATGGGATTAAAGATGGAATATGGAGAACCAAAGTATGGATAAGCATACTATATCTTCTCTGGCAGTTTTTAGCAACAAGAATGAATGATTGATGAGAATTTCCATCAGTAAAGCCAATCCACAATAGAAAATATAAAGAAAATGTTTTCTCCATCTATTACTACTCCATTATAGCAACAAGCATTTGATAACACCCTTTATTTCTGGCACTATAAAGGGGTATATTTAAAAAAGGAGTTAAAATGTGGTCATCTCATTTATGTCTAAAGATTATCAATAGAAAATATCAGGCATTAGTCTGTAACAGTACAGAACAGAACTGCCGAACAAAATTTCCACTTGTTTCTTCTATCGGGTCATTTAAAAGTGCACTCTCCGTCACATTTTGTGCTTGTTACCAAATAGAAAAGTTGTTTATCATCAGCCACATGAAGATCAAATATATTAATAAATCAGAAAGTGCTCCAAGTATCTTTTCTATTAAGAAAACTTCTTACAGAAAACCAAGGTTGTAAATATACCATCAGAACAAAGGTGGTAAAACCACGGATTAAGAAAATAAAACAGTTCCTCGGTAACTATGGAAGAATGAAAGATCCATAGATAAGTCAAATAAATTGTAAATATAAATTATTCACACACCACTGGTATCTGTAATGACAAAAGAAATGCATACAAAACAGAGATTTCGAATGCAATTTTGGTCACCCACTAACATAACAAGGACAAATCTACAAAAATGAAATCTGCAAAGAACTCACCTGAGCTTCAATTTTGTTAGGTATGGTCTCAAAGGCTAGCAAATCTGGCCCTGCCTCTACAAGGACTTGTAATCTCCGTCTATGGAAATCCTTCAACTTGTCCATACTCACATCTGGTCCATAAGACCCACTGGATGGACCATATACAAACAAAACCGGAAAATGAGATGAATTTCCAATCAATCATATGTAATAATTCTGAGAGCATATTGAAGAAGCCATTTACATCGAAAAGAAAATAATATTAGTTTTAAAACCGAGATGTATCATCTAGAAAAATTCAAACACCTGTACTCTGAACCATCAGCAAGATAAGCACCATAGCTTCCGATAGACGCTGCCACCAAAGCCCGATTATAACCATGTTTGCCGTTCTTTTGCGCTATGTCCCAAAACTTGTCACGGGCTTCCACGGCCAATTTGACACTCTTTTGCAGTAAAGCCTCTCCTTGTTCAATGGATAGTCCTTTTGACAAAAATCCTGGGATTGTTGCCTGGAAAGCCGATCAGAAGCCAGAACAGAAAAAGGGTCTAGTTAAAAGATATCTATCTAACCCACGATAGAAGTCTAGTATAGCAGAGTAGAGATGTGTCAAAAAATGCTCATATTTGTAGAAATGGAAAACACCCAGAAAGACGATAACATCAAGGAATGTAGAATGTAGTATAACAAGTGTTGCTAAAACAAACAATAGATTGATTGGCATAATAAGATTAAAAGATGAACAACGACAAGGGTAGACACCCAAACCTGATACGAAGAAGTTACTAATATATCTGCACCGGCCTCGAGATATTCCAGGTGAACCTACACGTTAACAGAGCCTCTTCATGTTCAACCATTGCCGTTATAAGATAAGACATAATAAAACTCTATTATGCTTTATGCAACTAGGATGGGAGACATAAGTCAAGTTCCATATATTTGTCCATACACTGATTAATGCATAAAGAAGTGAACCCATGAAGAAAGAGAAAAAAAAAATGAAGAGAAGAGTAAACCCGTTGGACTAGTTCAGGGCTTTTGATCAAACAAAGAGCGCTCCACAGAGCATCATTAATGGAGGCACCATGCCTTTCAAGCTGCGTCGCAAATCCTCCGTCAACAATGGCGCATCCTCCTGCCTTTTCGATGAGATCATCTAACGACGTTGTGACCGCCTTTGCTTCTTCCTCACCCGTCCCCAGTCCCATCTCCTGAATCTCCTCCCTCTGCCTCTGTCTCTCTCTCCCGGGTCCCGGCTCGCGAGCGAGGCAATCGGCGATAAAAACGGATAAATGCAGAAAAAATGGAAATGGAGGCCAAAGTTTTAAAGCACGTGGAAGCAGAGGTCTGATGGCGCTGGCTGGAAACACGTCGGGTTGGGAGAGGAATATGAATCGGGACAGAAATGGGATTCAGGTTCAAAATAAACAAGTGCTTCTACTTTCCAAACCTCTCTCTACACCCCGACGGCCCGAATTTGGGGTTCGCATCTTCCCCCTACATACTTGCCCCCCCCCCCCCCAAAAAAACGTCTTCACAAAACCGAAACGCGACGCGTGTCATGAAACACGCGCATTAAGCGAAACGCGTGCGAAACCTATTTCACGACGTAAAATGCACCTCCGTTAATTCCTCTATTGCTCAAAAGAATAAGTTTTTCTCATTTCTTATATATATACGTATATATATGTATATATATGAATATATATTGTTCCATTCGTTTTCTAACATTTACAGATTTTAATCTGCCGGAGTGGGAGCCTCTGACACCGTTTCAAACCTTGACACTGCCGGAATTCGAAAGCCCTCCAAAATTCGAAACTCTCTGAAATTTGAGTTTTGACTTGAGGCACTTGGCCATGGCTGGAACAGCCTGGGAGAAGGAGTGGGAGCTATGCAATGACGATTGCTTCGTTTACAAGAAAAAGAAAAGAAGACAAGATTATATTGCTGCCATTGCACCACCAATACCGACTTCTGATCCAGTGGTGGAGCAGAGACAGCGGAGGGAGCAGAAGAAGAGGACGCAGCTGAGAGATCAGTTGCGACAAATGAATTTGATCATAATTCCCTTCATTGTAATGATTGTCATGTATTCTCTCATGAAATATTAAAGGTTCTTTGTCAATATTCCGTCTCTCTTTATTAGTATACCCTGTAATACGATATTTCTCTCTAAGAGGCAGTTGGTTTCAGCAATGGTAAAAATTTTTAAGTCTTAGGCTTCATTGGTCTTTCCTTATTTCAAGGACTTACCTCTTTTTGGTGTTGGGGGCATTTTAACCGCAAAAAGGATTCCTTAAGACAAGGAATGCCAAATGCAGCCTTAGACCTGGAAGCCATATCTGCAGAGATCATGTAACAGCAATGGAAAGCAAAGATTTAAAGGAGCACCACTGCTGATGAGAGTATATATCTACTGAGTACTTGCTACACAACGCTATGACTCCTGCTACTACAGATATACAGATGAATATACATTGCCTTGCTACTACAATAGTAGAAATACTGCTGGTCTTTGGTTATTGCCAAAATCCCTCTTCTAGACATAGTAGCTACCTAAATGCATACATGAGCAATAAACAAGGTGTTTCGAAGATATCACTGCATTTCTTTGGTACTTTTTCTGATAACCCGCTCAAGTTGCAGAGGGTTTTAGAAAATGGTTGATAGGACCAATTGCTAAAAGAACTTAGACCTCTGTTTTCTCTCTTTATAATCCTGCTCCCGAACTTCATTTGACGTAGATTGCTCCATGCTGCATCAACACAAATTGTGAGCCATATCCTCTTACAGTAAAAGTGTTGAAACACACCAACAGTTCCTAGCATGGCAATTATGTTTCCTTCCAAACTATTGTTTACCATTATGAATCTTAATTGTTTATCATTTATGAATTTTAATTGCTTATGACCGGAGAGTTTCAAATTTTGGAGGGCTTTCGAATTCCGGGGGTGTCAAGGGTTTGAAACGGCGTCAGGGGGCTCCCACTTCGACGGGTTTAGATCTTTGAATGTTAGAAAACAAATGAAAAAACAAAAAAATATATATATAAGAAATGAGAAAAACTTACAGAGTACTTACCTCCTACCGGTATGGCCGTCGGCGTTGGCCGACGGAACTCGACCGAATTAATCTTCGGTGAGTGGGTCACGAAAGGTGTTCGACGCCAAGAGTTTCAGTTTGAAGTAGAATGGAGAAGTATGGGAGAAGAAATGCTTTTGGGCAAGAGAGGAACTAACGGAGGTGCATTTCATGGTGTGAAATGGGTTCCGCATGCGTCTCGTTTGATGCGCATGTGTCATAACACGAATTACATTCCGGTTTTGTGGGACGTTTTTGGGGGAGCAGATGCGAACGATTGTTTCCTTTCCTTTCAAGTTCCAGACTTCCGGTTGGTTTGTTGGTTGGTTGCGTTACAAAATACAAACTTTTAAAATTTTCAATTTACATTTTGAAAGATAAAAAAAAAATGAAGGTTCAACCGTTCAAAGTATAAAATATGAAAAGTGTACTATAAACGCATTTTTAAGAGAATGCAGTTTTAAGAGACGTATGAGGATATTTTTTTATATATATAAATAGGGATGAAAAAACAAGATATACATAAAATATATTATCAACCTGAAATAAATCTTAAAAAAATATATTACTAATAATAATTATAAGGTATATATGACCATATATAAGTTATTAAAACATAAAATCCTTACTTTATCATTTTCATGAAGTGCGAGAAATTATGACATATATATGGGTGATGGAAAAACTAAAATATATATTATATACCTTACCTTGATTTTCAAAAATCAAAATAATTTGTCTAATATTTTTTAATATATAAATTTTAATAATCAATTTTAGCATTTATTGTCAAACATATATGGGTGAGGATCTCGGCCCAATCCAACTCGGAAATTCTAAATTTGGGCCTGGATTTTGTGTTTGAGATTGGCCCAACTCATAATATTTTTGTCTTATATATAATTTATCAAAAAAATTATATGCATACTATATGCCATTAAATGTTATACATTATATATGTAATATTTTATATATAAAAGAATTAGGCTTGACCCAACCCATAATCACCCCAATAAAAAATCCATTAAAAAGAAAAAGGTTTATTTAAGCATCAAAATGCATAAATTTTAAAACAACAAAATAGATATAGGTGTAGTGGTAGATTCATGGATTTTACAAACTACTCACCAAAGTTCAAACTTTTTTATTATTTATTTTAGTTTTACCCCAAAGTTATGTGCATTAGGCTTTAGAATGGTGTATCAAATTTGAAGAAACATTAATGAGAAAGATTATCAATAAAAGAAACATTAATGAGAGAGGGTGTGATTAATATAATTAATAAGAAAGAGGGAGAAAGACTCATTACAAGGATTAACAATAAAAGAAAAATAAATGATAGAGGGAGAGCGGGTTTGTATCGGCAATTCTATACCTGAAATGGTTTGATACGGACCCGTATTGGCATGATACAGACGAAAAGAAACACAACTAGTTTTTATACATTCCATCTATTGGCTCCGTACATTGCAAAATTTATGAACTTTGAATAAAAGTAAATAAATAAAGGGAAAATTATAAAGATCCCCCCATATTATGGGGTCTGTGACAAAGACCCTATACTTTGTTTTGCCATAAAGACTTCCTGTACTATGACCATGAAACAAAGATCCCCATCCCTTAACCTTCCGTCAAAATCTGCCGTTGCAATATTTTTTAATCCCTAAACCCTTTCAAAGAAAAATACTGTTCATCTTCCTGACCTCACGATCACGAACAGCAGTAAGGACAGACTTCCGAAGTCCTCCCTCTCTCTCCCTCTCTCTCTCCCCCGATCTCTCTTCTTCCCCTTCCCGTTTTTCTCTAGTACAGAGGCTGAGTTCCGTTTCAGAACAAACCGAGGCGATCCGCAAGCTTCATTTCATCTCCAAGCACGACCCGGATAGCTGTTCCTTCATAGTAGAAACTGGCGCCATTCGGGAGATGGGTACTCTTCTTAACATACATAGCAAAAGCTAGCGCCATCGTGACCAGAGAGAGCGGAGAACCTTCATAGCAGAAGCTAGTGTCATTTGGCAATTGCTTCAGTCAATTGCAGAAGTTGACTGAAGGTTAGAGTGAGAGAGAACGTTTTACTAGAAGTTTCCAAATAAAAGAAAAAACCATTTGGAAGGAAAACACGGTGGCTACTCTAACCTTCATAATAAACTTTGGCAATTGTTTCAGTCAAATAAACGTTCTCCCTCACTCTAACCTTCATAGCAGAAGGTTACCTTCTGATTGTTCTCCACTCTCTTTAGTTTCCTTATTTCAAAACACGGGTTAATGGTGTGTTGATGGATGTTGGGGGAAGACGAGGTGACTGATGAAATTCATGGTTTGTCAATCCACTGAAATTATTAGTGTGATGTTAATCATGAATCCCAACATGTTCTGATTGTTTTCTCCACAACAACCAACACCTTGAATTCATTTCCAACACGTTTTTTTTTGTATTTTGGATTTATTGTTTTCTATATCCTTTTAGGAGTATTGCGAGATTTTCTGGTGTCATTCTTGGTTCTACAAAACTGCTCATTCAGCAGCCCTACTCGTCCAGCTGCATTCGCAGTTTGTCATGTTCAGCTTCAAGAGTGTCTAGTTATAGGCGCATGCATATTTATATGAACACTCTGGTTATATCAGCCTCGCATCAATCAACCCAGGAGAGCAAGGGAGGCTCAGAGGCATAACCACAACCATAGAAGCTAGCTCCACCGTCGCCCAGGAAAACGTGGTGGCTACTCTTCTTAACATCTCAATCTCCAACCGCGATGTGCTCATGTCCACTTCAACCCCTGCCACTGTTCAAAATGCCACCACAACCCTTTACAGCCTTCTCGTCGTTGATGAGTATTGACTCATTATTGGAGCCAAGCGGGATATCATCTTCGCTCTTGTCGACATCATTCAGAACTCCAATTCACCTGCAAGGTCGATGAAGGATGCCCTTAAAGCCCTCTTTGGTATCTCGCTTTACCCGCTCAACCGTGCCACCATGGTTGAATTGGGTGCAGTTCCTGCCCTTTTCTTGCTTGTGGTGAAGGACGACCAGATTGGGGTTATCGAGGATGCTACAACGATTCAGTTGAGAGGACCAGATGCAATGATGAATTTTGCTACTTCGCCAAAAGCTAAGTAGGAGATACAAGTACCAACCAGTTCGGAATACGATTCCTTCTATTGCTACCTCGACATAAAAATACAGAGGAAATCGAGAAAAAAAAAGGGAAGAGAGAAATCGGGAGAAAGAAGACTTTGGAAGTCCGCTGCCGCCGCTATTCGTGTATCGTGAGGTCGGGAAGATGAACAGTGTTTTTCTTCCAAGGGTAGTATAAGGATTAAAAAATATTGCAATGGTAGATTTTGACGAAAGGCTAACAGAAGGGGGTTTTTGTCTCATGGTCATA